GACCATGAGGATTACTCTGGTTCTTTAGCCTCAATTTAGTCTCCCAGACACAGAGTGTGGCAAATAACGCCTCGAGTAGCACAGATGGGGTGGCAGCTGTATAGTGAAATACTTGAACCAGGAACCAGGGAGATTCTGATGAGGCCTAGGGAAGGAGGACTGCGTAACAATATGGCATACTGATCAACATTCCCAACACAAGGTTAATTGGAGTGAGAAAGCCAGCGTGGAGTGTGGAGAGTTCTCTTGCAAGCCGCTCAAAAGTGCACACCACACCAGATTTAAATAAGCAAGGAAAAATTGTGATAGTGAAGGCGTGATACGAGGATATAGGATTGGGGATTAGCCTATGGAAGAAGGAGAGATACCACGATTGTTTAGCAGACAATTGTTCAAAGGATCGTCTTCACTTGTCTCTTTGGCGAATTGTAGTATGGTGCTAAGCCTGACAATGCTCACTGACGATGTCGACTAAGATGCCAGCAAAACCTCTAGGAATGTACCTCGTCCACGGTCCTACTCTGGAAATGATTATGCATACAATGGACTCCGGACTAGGTGCGTTCCTCCAGGCCTTCCTACCATTATGACCAAGTTGCGAAAACAAGGTCAAACAACTTCTATACTACGAAAGCAGACCGCAACCATACAAAAGGCTACACCATCATGGTTTTCATACCTTCGATTAAAATGTGCACGAGCACATTTTCTTGCCTTTAGGCATAATCACCAAAATACTTGCATGTACATTTTTTCACACCAGATTCAACAGAACCTCCTCGGTGCGAGCACTGCTAGATGCCGGTTCGGATGCGCTTTCCACAGATGCCTCAGGCCGCACCCCCCTTTTTGGTGGAATTAGTGCGGACGCTGTGGAAGCAGTGAGCGTAATACTGGCTCATCCAACCTGGGGCAGATCGCCAGCCTGCTTAGTACCTAGCCTTGCTGAAGATAGAACAACCCCGTTGATACAAGCTGTGAAAATGTCGAGTATTGGTACGTCATGTCACACTATTCTCTTACAGTAACTTGGTTTTCATCTGAATGTTTTTTATGTACAACTTGTTTATGCATTTATACATATTTTAATCGAAGGTATAAAGACCAAGATT